TACGGTGAAGTAGGGGGTCCCTTGTTCGCCTCCTTGACTTTCTATATATATATATATATATATTATATATATATATATATTAGTGCATCCACCGTATCACTAAGGGTACGGCTCCGCACCCTCGGACATGTTGCATCTGTTTTCGCATATGCCAGCTCAGCACCGGGCGCTCAGTTGGCTCGAGACTTGAAACGAAGGGCTAAGACGAAGGGCTGTCGTGTACCGCGGGTGTACTGCGAACGACTCCAAACGCTTGCCTATATAGGCATGGACTTTGATTGGCCCTTTGGTGAACATCGGTATCCTTTGCAAAAGGGGAGCCCAAAAGAAAAAAGAAAATAGTGTCGGGACAATCCCTGGTTCGGCAGATATCCAAATGGCGAGAAAGTGTGACCCTAGGGCTCAAGTAGTCCACTCCTGTGAATAGCTCAGAACCCCAAAACCCATCCATTTTCGGGAGACTCGAACCGCCGTTTGTGGATTACACAAGAACATTGCGAGAGGATGTACGCCTGGCTTGTACCAACCTTGCTGGGACATCAGACTGTCTGGCAATAAATCAGCATGATTTTGGGGCCGTTCGGGGTACATGGCAATGGCCCTTGGCAGCTCTTATGCGCCCATTGGTCCAAAGCCTGTCATCTGTCCTGCGAGACGCTCAGCGCAACGGCGCGGCGTCTTGCGATTGTGAAACAAACGGCGGCCCCTCGAGGGATTCACAAATGCGGGTTCCTCAAAGATGTTGCAATCCCAAGGTGGAACCCGTTTGTTTTGTGGATCCATGCAAAGGGCCACCTAATTTCAGAGACTGCCTTTCTGAAGTCCCATAAATCGAGCACATTGGCATTTTTGCCCTCGCGACCACCTAAGAGAGGTCGGGGACATGTGGTCAAGGAATCACAGCAGCAAAGCCAGCGCCGACGAGAGACTCAAACCGCATCGCAGATCAGCGGCTTGCCAATTCCGGCTGTCGGAGTGTCCGGGTGATCCACCCTTGCACTCTCCCGCGTGAAGCGGCGACAAAGGCAGACGACCATGCCTACTGCCAGCAAAGCCTCAAAGACAAGCTTCACTGGAATGCTGGCTGTGGCGATGGCCACGGCTGCCATAAGAAAAAGAAAAAGCGCCAAGATGACGAACTGCATCTTGCGGTCCCAGATCTCATCTCGCCAGGCTGTCTTTGGCCTGGCCATCGGCCGCTCGTGTCTCCAGGCTGGAGACACGTCTCCTTTCTTTGGCCCGGATGCGGGCTTCGTCTTCCGGTGCGTCGTCAAAAGCCCCGGAAACGGCGGGTCCTCCCTGATCTCGGGAGCCGGTACGGGACTCGCTTTCGGCTCCGGAAGCTCACTGTCGGCTGGCGCATGGTCCGCACTGGCCTGGGAGTTGAAACACAACAGAAAAAGGGGAAACGGGGCGGCTCACCGTTAGGCTGGGAAAAAAAGGAGGGGAGCCGATCTGATGAAGTAACTGCTTTCCAAGTTGGAATTGTGCAAAAGGTCACATGGCACCCATTCAGTTTGCCAAATCTTTTCCGCTCCTTCAGCGCCATAGACGCCTCCACCCGCCGGAAGGTCGCAGTGACTGCCGCCGACTCCAGCAGCTTGGGGGTCGCAGGCACAGGCTCCGTCCTGTCCAGGCCCTTCGTCTCGTCAAAGGCGCCGGCCTGGGGGTTCGTCAGAATCAAAACCCGGCAACATGATCCACCCGTTTCTGGCAAGGGGATTCTTTCTGCCCGGGAGCTGGCCTGGGTGTTCTTCATGTGCTCTTGGACGGCTCGGATTTCTTCGGGGGACCACACTCGCGTGCGCCTCTTCTCCTCCCGGATCTTCCGCACGGCCAACGCCCGCTTCACCTGCGCCTCGAAGCTGTGGATCATCTTCCGCGGGTCGAAGAAGTCGGACCCCGCGTGCTCGCGCAGCTCCTGCTTGGAGAGGTAGGGGAAGGTGTCGCCCGTGTCCGACTCTTCCGGCATCTCCTGCGCCAGGAAGGCCGCGCTGCCGGGCAGCTCCTTCACGAACTGCGCCTTGCGGGGCACGCGGACCAGAAGCTCTTGCCCCAGCTCCGACCGAAAGCAGTCAGGGAAGCTCAGGCTCAGAGCAGCAATCTCATGCACCGATGGGAACACCAGCTCCGCGGCCCCGTGCACAGCCATGCGCGGGAACTTCTGTGTTGTGAGGCCCTCCGCGAACTCTGGATCTTGGCGATTGCTCACCAAGATCTGCACCTTCTTGGCCACGAGCTCCTGCAGCTTGGCGGAGTTGTCGATGGCGGCCAAGTGCAGGCTGAGGATCAATAAGGAGAGCTCCTCTTGCGTGAGGTCCCTGTCGTCCCTATCACAAAGCACCCTGATGGCCATGGTCAGGCGCTTCCGCGCCTGCCTCTGCGGCTCGTCCTCGCCCGCGATCTTCATGATGGCCGGCGTCTTCCCAAAGCGGGCGAGGCCGATGAGGACCAGCAAGAAGATCCGGAAGTCCGCGCCGGGCTGGCCAGGATTGCTCACATCTCCTGCACGGTTTGCCTCTTCAAGCCCTAAGGATTTCGACCCGACGACTAGGGCTGCTGGTTTCATCCGAACGGCAAGCCATGCCTCCCAGTTGCTGGTAGACCGCCTTCAAATGTCCGTCCGAAACGGAGACTGGAGTGCCTGCGCCCAACTCCGCGAGGTTGATGCTGAAGGAGTCCTCCGTCTCATCTCCGGAACCGGACAAAACCACAAAAACGTGCAAAAAGCAACTGGTCTCAAAACAAAGCAAAACGACTGGAAACAGCGGCATCAACAAAAAACAACACTTGTTGGGCATGGATAGGGTTATTTTGTTTGGGGTTTGTTGGGGATGGTTTAAGGTGGGCCGGTTTAGGGTTGGTTGTTTAGGGTTGGATTGAAATTGGTTTACGGTGGGTTCAGGGTGGGTTTCAGGGCGGCTTAAGGATGAGTGTAGAGTCAAATAAAGTCGTTTCCGGGTGCTTCCTCCCTTCCCCCCTGCCAATAAGTTGTTTTTTTCTTGATGCATTAGTTTGTGAATGATGCCTTGATATCTTCTTTTTGACACCTATCCCACCTTCTGCAGCTTCTCAAAGGCCGCACGGGACGCCAACACGTCCCTCATCTTCAACGGTTGCGTGCTAGCGCCCAATAAACACGCGTACACCCGGAGACCCGGGAGCTGGTGCACCTCGTAGGGGTCTGCCTGGACGGGAAACCCCGAACCCAAACCAAGCCTTGCACCAAACCCCAAGGAAGCCTAACTCAACCCCAAACCTACCCGCCGCTAAACGGAGCCACCAAACCAGACTACCACTTGGCTTCCTGGCACGCCTCTAGTTGTTTCCCGACACGGTCGTTCCCCGACTCGCACTTGACATGGTCGTTTGTTTCCTTACTTGGTCTAGTCTTCCTGGCACTCGACGAAGGTGGAACTGGCCACACTCGCAGTGCTGGAGGCGTCGTCGTAGACCGGGTAGTAGTCCTTGTCCTTGTGGGAGTCGCGAAGCTTGAACGCGTCCTCATGTGCTTTAGGTTGGTTTAGGGTCTGTTTAGTCTGGTTGCGGGTTGGTGTAGACTCTTGGGGTTGGGTTCGGGCGTCCTCACAGAGCGTGCCCCGGCTCCAGCGCTCCTCAAGCCACTTGGGCTCCTGACCTGGCACCAGCGCCCCGGCTGCAGTGGGCAGCGCCAGCACGGGCAGCTTCGGCGTCTTCTGGTCCTCCCAAACTTGAAAGTCAATGGTCGACCTTTGGGAACCTTGACAAAAAATGGACGAAGGACCCAAATAATCAGGTCGGCTTGCAACGTGTCCTGGAAGAAAAACTTGGGATCCTCCGCACTGGGGGGCGGCCTTCCACTTGCCGCAGTCGCCCTGGAGCCGGCGCAAGTCACCAGCGGAGACACGGCGTCTGCCTCCCTCCCAGGTGCAAGCCGAACAGCGCAGGCAGTTGCCTGCAGGCTCTTGGCCTCGGGTGATGGCGGCGCGACGTCGCCTACCCGCTTGGGCGGCATGGGCGAAATGTGCTTCGCCGTCAGCGCACCTTGAGGGAGCGTTGCTTTTTGTCAGACCAAGAGGATCCTCTATCAAATTGAAAGAGAGGGTTCTCCATGACGCCCTTTTCTGTTTCTTCACAACGTGCCTCGAGGCGTCAGCGGCAAATGGCCGAAACTCACCGCATGCGCGTACAAGCAGCACCAGGTTGGCAGGTCTGGTGGGGCCAGCGATAGCAGCGACTCCGCCCCGAAGGACTCGTGGCTCGAACACGCCTCCATCACGGAAAACTCGTGGCCGGGCCGCGAAAGAGCGGAAGGGCCTCTTGGAGCGCTGGGTGTATGCCCAACTCATCAAAATCGGAAAATGAGGCATGTCCGGTAAATGACCTTCATTTCTGGAGCTACTTTTCAATGCGGATGGGTCGCTGAAACCTTCGAGCCTAACCAACGGCGCAAAACTCGAAGCCCGTGGTTTGCAGGTGAGCATCTAGTCCACTGTTGGTTTGGGAAGGAGCTATGGCATTGGCCAGATACCTCAAAAGGGGTACCCTCCCCCTCCCGGCACGCGGAAAGTCCGCTTCCGAAAAGGCAAAAGAAGCTTCCGTGCTTGTCTGGGGGGTATGGCAGGATGCCCTGAATATTGCAAGTGAACCAAACACACCCGCCCAAAGAACCACGATGAACTACGGTAAATTAGGCGGGGTGCCTCGTTCCCCTGCTTGAAATATTTCGGGCATCCAGCGTACTAAGAGTACGGCTCACGCTCGGACATGTTGCACTTGTCGCATATGCCAACTCACCGGGCGCGGCGGCTCGAGACATGAAACGAGCCGTCGTGTACCCGTGCGAGTGTTCCGCGAAGGGCTCCAACGGGCCCTTTGGTGGACATCATTTAGGGGATGTCACTTCAGAGCCATCCCTGACAAGCTACAAGGCGAAAAGGGAGTATGGGTTTGAGCGACACCCAGACCTCCAGCGATGAGAGAAAAAATAGGCACCCGTTTTGCATCTTGATCATCAGAAGGCAGGGGAACTGCTGGAGGTCTGCAAGAGAGGTACACCCGGTTTTTCAGTACACGACTTTTGCCCCAGCTTGCGGTCAGTCCATGCCACCCCACATCCGCTGCTCCTGCAGGAGATGAGCAGTGCTCAAGACCACAGGGTCTGGCAGAAATCGAACAAAACTGCTCGGTATGTCTCTTTCTTGGTGCCCTACCTAGACATGCCCTACCCCTTCCCCCATTCCGGTATGTCTGCCCCCCTTTTCCAGACCGTGCAAAGGGGGATCCTTCAGTTTAGGAGACAGCGGTTTCACAGGCTGCGCCTGAATGCTGCAAAACAGCTAAAACCTGTCGCCAAACCGAAAACTGTAATTTGCTTGAGATGAAGCAAATGGATGAGAAACAGCCACTAGTCATGACCGCGTTCGTTCAAAACCAACACTTGGACAAACAAATCAAAGACACAATTGGAAGACAACCAGTTGCCCTGATCCCCTTTATACTTACATCACAAGATATACCTTGAAACATAACACGCGAACAAAAAAGATGGAAGAGCTAACATCCGGGAGAAAAGCCGCCCAAAAAAAACCCAAACCTGGTTCTGATCCGAGCTCCTTCTCAAAAAGCAAAGCCTCACGCGCAGCACAGCACTTGGACCCCGTGGCTCCTCGGCATACGCCGCGATGGCCGCCTCGGCCTGCGGAAAGATGTTCCGAGGCGATTTGGGGCAACGGTCAGTTGGGCTTTCAGAGGGATGACCGGACCGTTGAGACCCGAGACCGTTGACCATCCCTGCATCGCTGCACCCCAAAAGGAAACCACCTGATGCATTCTTCAGCTGGCGGTTCTTCGCACGGTTTGGAAATGTTCGCCCCTGGCTCCATGGTCTGTTGATGGCACAAAGGCGGATGTTGGCCATGGTCGAGGAACATCAGCGTTGCTGTGCTAAAGTGGGGTTCCCCGCCCCATCACCAATTTGCATCGCCAACTGTCCCAATGACATTGGATTTTGCTGAGGTTTCACCCCCTCCCCTAATGCTTTTTTGGGACCAGTGTCCTCTCCCTTGCAGTGAATGATGGGGAATATTGTCCGTTGTGCATAAGGCTGTGTCTGGTGTTGGGGAACACCCTTTGTGTTGCTTGTATAGGCAAACCTGGTCAAACTCTCACGAACGTGGATGATGTTGTCATGGGTTCATCCCTACACCCCCCAAGTAAGCAGGTCTTTTGTCCATCCATGGCACCAATGTGTCCCCTTTCAAGAAATATCGTAAATGGAAACTCAATCGGCCCAAGAGGTGATGGTTTGCCTGCCCGAGGGACATATAAGGACCCGCAGTCTCCCGTGTGTCCGGTGGTCTAGCATTGGGCTTCATTTCGAGGGGTGAGCAAAGCGTTGCTTCGTCCGGATGTTTCCTAAATTGAAGGACCCCTTTCTGGGTGGTTCTTGAAACGAAACCAAAACGCAACTGAAAAGCCTGCGGGGAAGCCCTAGGACACATGTCCAAAGAAATCCATGCAGTTTGGCAGGTTCCCCAAGTTTGACAAGCTAGAGACCATGTGGGCTTGCCTTGTTTTCTATGACACCTGCCCTCCTCCACCATTTTCAGGGCTAGCTTCTGGTAGCTGCCACCCATGCCCCAAAGGCCAAGCCTCCTCGCCGGACTTAGCGCCCAGCCGCTTGACCGCGACCCCCGGGACTTGCAAGGGACCCGGCAAGGCGTCCTCGGTTCGAACAACTGCCACACACACACACACACCCAGCAGTCCAATCAGCGTGGGATTGCTTTTGCATGGAACTCAACATGGGCATGAAATTCAGCTGACCCTTTGGGGCGACACCCCCCCCCAGATGACTAAAGATTCATCGTCACGTTGGAACTGCAAGCATCCGATGGCACCCTGAAGCCTCCCCCACAGGCTGATTCAAGAAAAGGGTTTATGCTACCATCAGAAGGGCTTCGTTCGAAGCCCTGTACACGGGTTCCCTAGAGAGTCTTGAGATGGTTCACTTCCGTTGAAACACAAACCAAAAGATAAATGTTCCCGATGTTGCACCCATGTGCAGCATGGTGTTCCTTTGCCTGCAAGTTCGCGTGGCACTGCACAAGAAGAGGCCAACCATTGGAAGACCCACAATCAATTTGGTGTGAGTTAAGTCAAAGCAAAGCGCAACCAAGTATAATCGTATTGTTGCTCAAACCAGGCGGTAAAATGCGAAAATGAGAAAAGTTCCCCAAAAAGCGATGGTGGAAGAGACAGCTCAAAAGAGATTGAAAGCAGGGGCACACGGCTTTAGGCACTCTAAAAAGCGTGAGTAAACTCCATGCGGCCTCACTTGGAAGATTCCTTTCATTGGGGTCAGAACAATATGTCAGCAGAACTCAAGTATCGTCCGCCCGAAGGAGCCCTTTCTCACCCTTCCCAAAGTCGAAATCAAAGCCTGGAAGGCAAGGCTTCCCAAACGATAAAGAATCAAACGTGTGCGCCGAACCCGCTGGTGGGAACTGACTCCTAAAACCATCTTAGGTTTTATCTTAGATTATGCCTTTGAGCCTGAGGCTCCGCCTCTTCTTTTGGTCTCTGAGCTACCACGGATGTCCAAAGGATACAGGGTGCTGGGTTAGGATAGCGTATGCATCGGGACGTTTCTACCCCACTCCAAATGAGTCAAAATATCGTACCAATGTGGTCTACCAGAAACCATGCAAGGAATAGAGGGCAGCCGAACTGTCCCTTGCTAACGGTCACTTACTCAGGTTTTGAATCCAAGTGAACCAGGCAGTAGAACCTGGAAGATTGCGGCTCGACTGTTTCTCACAGCTTGGACCCCAGTAGTTGGTTTCATTTTGGCTTCCTTCCATTTGTTTAAGCCCCCTGGAAAAGCAAAATATGTCCAGTAGTGATCGGTTCCCTTGTAAAGCCAACAAGGGAACATATAAACAAAAACCTCAAGCAAATAGAAGTGTCCCGTCGACAGGTCGTACGACCAAACCGTTCTCTGCGCCTCCGCTGCCGGGTCTGCAAAGCCGCGCTGGGCGAACCATTCGATGCGCTCCGTGTCCTGTGCGCGCGCCACGTGCCGAAAGTGCCGCTATCCTTCGGTGTCCACCAAGAGTTAGAATAACTAGAAAATCCGTACCACATTTGGGAACCATATGCACTTAGCAGCTCAAGACTCCAAACACGCACGGGGACACAGAAATACCCTTGTGGAGCACTGAAAGCTCCAAAACCTGCACAGGGACAAAGCAAGTGTACCTTTTGAAGATAGAACTGTCATTTGTTGTCCCTGTACACTTTTTGGAGCTTCGTCCCAAAACCACATTTGGGTTGCTCAAAATCAATCCTTGATTCAAGTATATATAGTTGTTTTTATGCAAGAAGTCGCCCTGGTTCAGTGTGTGTTTAGCAAAAGTCCCAGAAAACTGGCAAGGCCACACTCTTTGACACTGCATGACTGAAAAGTGAATCAAACACGGATTTCGTGGTTGGTTTATTTTGCGTGCAGCTCATGTCTCAGCAGAGAAGCATCGGCAAAAAGCCGTGAAAGCACTGGCATTCACGGCACTCTTATAAGGTTATGCACACCACACAAGTACGTGAATGACAGCAGCAGAAGCGTCGCAAGTAAAAGTTTGGCCCCGGGAAGGTAACCGTATATGGTCCATGTGCATAATTATAAGGGTGTGTATATATTTATATGTATATGCAATCCCCCCCCCAATGGACCCTGGGTTTACTGCCTTTTCAAAATTGTAAATCTAGAATCTCAAGAATTGAATTCTCGAAATTTCCAATTCTGGGTCCCCAAAGCCTCATAATTTGAGCCCGGAGTCCTCCGAAATGTTTCAATATTATGATACCCTTTCCAAATAGGCGTTTACTTCAACTGAATATAATTTGGTTAGGATATAGCTTTCAAAAATGTGCTTATGTTCAATTACAGCTTATATAAGCAAATCCTTTCCAAACAGGAGCTACATGAAAATGCAAATATAGTTTCGGGTAAACTCCAACTAATCTTTAACAAAAGAAGTTAGATAAGAGTTTATTCCCAAATAAAATCTAAGTGTTAGATATAATCTAATACGAACACAATTCAATTAGCTTTCGACAATAACACTTAAAAAGAGACTACTTCTCAAATATAGTTCATATTAAGTATGGCTAAACATGTAAGGGACTTCTACAAGGAAATTCGAAATACTATTTGTATTATCTATATTCTGGCCCTCTTGAAGCATAAGAAAGGTCCGAGACTAAACTTGGTAGACGGTGTTCCAAAAGGAAACTTCTAGGGAAGAGAGGTTCAAATTCTAAAACTATCTCGAAACAGGGATTCTAGCTAGATCAGTTGTATTTAAAGTTCTATTTGCACAGGAAAACAAAATTCCTTCTATCTCAAAGGTGGAGAAAGTAGATGAGCAATTGTGGACAGGTAGTTCAAGAAGGGGGGGACGGTGTGTGAACATACACACAAGCATATATATATATATATATATATAAACCTGCGCCTCTTTATTTCAAACAAGAAAAGCTTCAAAATGCAGTGTTGTTGAGCATTACGCCTACCATTGTTTATCGCCTGGAAAGAGGGTCAACATGAGCATAGCTGACATGAAGCAAACTGCTCACCAAAAGCGCTTGAAAATGTGTCTGACTAATAACTTGAAAGTGTTTCTGCTGGATCGCCAAGCACTTGAAAGTACTTGACCACTGGATGGAAGATTCAAGATTGAAGATTACACTGAAACTTGCCTGAAAACTGTCAATCCTGGCCAAACCCAAACAACATTCCAAGTTCTTCTAGCACCTGAAAGTGCTTTACCACTGGATTGAAAATTCAATATTGAGGATTGCACAAACAACAACTTTCCTGAGAAGCATCCATCCTGGTCAACCCCTACAAATGCTCAAGTTGTTCTAAAACCTCGAACGTATTTTACCACTGGATTGAAGATTCGGGATTCCAATATTGTCACGGAAAGTTTTTCCGAGAATCTGATTGAACACCGAGAGTATTGGGACAAACCTGGAATTTATTTACTTTGTTTCTTCTTCAAGATTCCAAGGAAATATGTTCTGAGATTCTTGAATCTTGACTCTTGAAACCAGAAAATTGAAAAGAAAAAAACTGAGTTGTTGTAATACTCTTGGAGGCAGCAAACTCTTTCAGGTTGCAAATGCTGATGTCATTGCTTTTATCACATATGTATCCATGCATGCAGGCAGGCATATCATATATACATACGGCACCCCCTTAATTTTAGCACAACATCCAAGAAGCAACCAAAGGCATAAAACACTGGAAACATACAGGTCAAACGCGCCAAACCAGAGTCCATGGAGGGTACCATATATATATATATATATATATGCACATAGCCATCTACTTCCGTATCCATGTGTCCAAGTATCCATGTGCCTTTTGCTGTCGAGGAGCCAACGAGTTTGACATGGTGGGCTTTGCTCTACAATCGATGAACATGGACTTGAACTGCGAACTCGAGGGCCAATACCCTCTGCAAGCTCATAATACTGATTTGCACTCAATCTATACACGCACCTAAGTGCTCGCAGCATAGTCGACGCTTCTAGATTCACACAGGTGCACAATCTCTGGGCCGCTCTCGTCGTACTCATACCTGGAGATAAACATCTGCTCGAAGCTGCTTAGGATGGAAAGCATTGAGCCGCCACTCCAAACGCTGTAATCTCCTTAGTGATTTGTTGCTCCCTTGTCACTCGTGGGATGTGTTATCACTCGAACTCTGAAAGCTCCAAAGGTCTAAGGAACCACGTGGCTAAGTCCGAGCTTCGCCCCGGTGGAGCCACCACCCTGGCGGTCATGCCGAGGGGTGCCAGGGTAGTGAGCTCCTGGGTGAGGCGCTGGGCCAGGCCCGGAAACATGGTCGTCCCCCCTGCCAGGACGACGTTGGCAAAGAGCTCCTCCCGGGCATCCTGATCACATTGCAGCAGGGCCTGGAAGACCGCCTCATGCACCCCCACGCCTTCCAGCCCGATGAGGCTGGGCCGGAACAGCAGCTCTGGCACCCTGAAGCGCTCCTCTGCGATGGTGATGTTTTCGTCGTCCGGCAGCAAGTAGGTCTTCTCCAGGGCGCTGCTCTCTTGACAGGTCTGCCTCTCCAGGTCGAAATCCGAGGCGACGTAGCAGAGCTTCTCCTTCACGTCCCGCGCCAGCTCGGGCGAGGAGATCAAGGGGCCGTAGCCCCTCTCTGTAAGGAGCTGCATCATGCACTCCGTCAGGTCTTTGCCCGCCACCTCCACCCGCACGATGCCATGGGCCAGCACGTAGCCCTGGTAGATGGGCACCGCGTGACTGACCCCATCCCCGCTGTCCACCACCAGTCCCGTGGTGCGCCCGGAGCCGAACAAGGCCAGCCACGCCTGGATGGCCACGTACCTGTCCGCTTCTCACACCTAAAAGTGACCAAGGCTTGGTGGGTGGAATGGATAAACTACCACGAAACCAGCCAAAACGGCCAAAAAGCTCTTTGGGGATGGCTGGGAACCTGCGACTACCACTAAACCAGCTAAACCAGCTAAAAAAAACACTCTTTGGGGAGGGCGAACCTGGGATCCAAGGTACATCGCCGGCACCTGGAAGGTCTCAAACATGAGCTGACAAAGATACTCGCGGTGAGACTTTGGATTGAGTGGCGGCTCGGTCAAAAGCACGGGGCAATCCTCAGGGGCCACACGGAGCTCGTTGTAGAAGGTGTGATGCCAAACTTTCTCCATCTCTGCCCAGTTCGTCACGAAGCCCTGCTCGATGGGGTACGTCACGTTGAGCTCTTTTACCCTGGATTGCGCTTGCTTGCCCACGTAGACATCTGTCTCACCAGTCTTGGGTCTCCCGACAAGGGATGGGAACACGGCGCGTGGCGCATCCTCGCCTCCAAAGCCAGCCTTGCACATGCTGCTGCCATTGTCCAACACCACAATCGTTTGCTCGTCATCCATGAGCTCAATCAAAATGCAAAGGCTGCTCAATTATGACAGCCGCTGGAGACAAAGGTGCTACTTGCGGTAGGCTTACTAGCGAGCCATTGACAGGGGCCCCAGTCTTCAGCATGTTCAAAGTCACCGTCCCACTTTGAGTACTTTCACGGACTAAATAAATAGATCTAGGTTGTGCTGTACGTGAAATCCAAACTAAGTCATGTTCATCCAAATCTATCTCGGAATCCGGATTCATGGAGTGGGCAAACTGCTCAGGTCGCCGGTTTCCTTTGGTGACGAGTAAACATCGAAGCCAAGCCATCAAATATTCTGGCTTGGGGAGCGTTCCACTGGGGTAGCCGAACCACAACATGTGATCCCCAAACCTCTGAAGTGGCCAAATCATCACCGGTGGCGTTGAATCCCCCTTTCAACCAACCCCGAACAAAAAAAACTCCAACAAACCCAAATTTGCCACTCATTGTTCAAAAGGGTGGCTTTCTTTTGGTTGTTTCCCTTTAAACAAGCTCCAACAAGAACCCCCCCCCCCAACCTCAAAACCCGACGCAGGCCCTTCCGCGCGGTTTCCACGCCTGCACCTCCGTCACCGCCAGCAGGCGCGCGCCTTTCAGCGCCGCCGCGCGCTCCGCGTAGGCGAAGAGCGCCGGCGCGTTGGGGACAAAGGTCTCGGCGGCCCAGCTTCGCCAAGCAGCAACCCATTTCAGGGAAAATCAAAGAAAACCCAAGAGTAACCCCCCTAAGAGAAAAGAAGAAGCAGTTGTCCTGTTGGTTTCCTTTGGCAAACCACAAGGAACACCAGCCATTGTTGGCTCTAGTTTGGCAGCTACCCTTTCTGTTGTGCAAGGGAAAGCTTTGTGCGTGCTACTTTTGGCAGCAGCAATAGCTTCGATAGAGAGCATGATTATCTCACATGAGGACTAACATTGGCAGAGGGCTAGTGGACTTCGGCCTACTAGGGCAAGCCTATGAGTGTGTTTTCTTGAAAACGGAATCACGCCAAACATGGCGGGGTCCCGATGTCAATACCGGTACAGTACCAGTAGCGCCGGTGAAGCCGGTAGGCGGAAGTTTCAAAACACGTGAGAACTATAACTTCATTTATCATTGATCTTCTCTGTATCCTTCCCTTTCTCTTCTTGTGCTCTTGTTTCTCTCTCGCTCTCTCTCTCTCTCTCTCGTCGTTTTCTCTCTTCTTTCTTTTCTTCCTCTTCCTCTTCCTTTCCGAACCTCTTTCTTCTTCTCTTTCTCTTTCTCTTTCTCTTTATCTTTCTCTCTCTCTCACTCTCTCTCTTCCTCTTCCTCCTTCTCCTTCGCCTCCTCTTGCCCGTGCTCTTTCTTTGTGTTTCTCTTTCTCTTTCTGCTTCTCTTTCCCTTTCTCTTTCTCTCCCTCTCTCTTCTTTCTTGATCTGTATCTGTTTTCTCTTCTTTCTAGTTTTCTTCTTGGCTTGCTCCTTCTATCTATCCAGAGTCTCGCAGCAGTCTTGGAGCGCGTTCCATAGCATGTTCGCAACGTCGGGTACGCGCAGCTTTCGCCAGGTCAGGTACAGATTTTGTGGCACGCAGCACTTTCGCAAGGACGGGTGCAGAATTCGCGTCTGGCGCAGCGCTTTGGCAAGGGCGGGTAGAGATTTCGTGGCAGGCGCAGGACTCGTGGCAGGCGCAGCACTGTCGCAAGGTCAGGTGCAAATGTTCTGGCATGCGCAGTGCAAGTGCGCGATGGAAAAATAGATAGATAGATAGATAGATAGATAGATAGATAGATCGATAGATAGATAGATAGATAGATAGATTAGATAGATAGATAGATAGATTAGATAGATAGATAGATAGGTAGATAGATAGATAGATAGATAGATAGATACATAGATAGATAGATAGATAGATAGATAGATAGATCAACAAATAGATTTAGAGCAATAGATAGACAGATAGATAGATACATTAGAAATATAGATAGATAGATAGATAGATAGATAGATAGATAGATAGATAGATAGAATAGATAGAATAGATAGAATAGATAGAATAGATAGAATAGATAGAATAGATAGAATAGATAGAATAGATAGAATAGATAGAATAGATAGAATAGATAGAATAGATAGAATAGATAGAATAGAATAGAATAGATAGAATAGATAGAATAGATAGAATAGATAGAATAGATAGAATAGATAGATAGATAGATAGATAGATAGATAGATTATAGATAGATAGATAGAGATAGATAGATAGAGATAGATAGATAGATAGATAGATAGATAGATAGATAGATAGAATAGATAGATAGATAGATAGATAGATAGATAGATAGATAGATCGATCGATAGATAGAGAGATTAGACAGATAGATAGATAGATAGATAGATAGATAGATCGATCGATAGATAGATAGATAGATAGATAGATAGATAGATAGATAGATAGATAGATAGATAGATAGATAGATAGATAGATAGATAGATAGATAGATAGATAGATAGATAGATAGATAGATAGATAGATAGATAGATAGATAGATAGATAGATAGATAGATAGATAGATAGATAGATAGATAGATAGATAGATAGATAGATAGATAGATAGATAGATAGATAGATAGATAGATAGATAGATAGATAGATAGATAGATAGATAGATAGATAGATAGATAGATAGATAGATAGATAGATAGATAGATAGATAGATAGATAGATAGATAGATAGATAGATAGATAGATAGATAGATAGATAGATAGATAGATAGATAGATAGATAGATAGATAGATAGATAGATAGATAGATAGATAGATAGATAGATAGATAGATAGATAGATAGATAGATAGATAGATAGATAGATAGATAGATAGATAGATAGATAGATAGATTAGATTAGATAGATAGATAGATAGATTAGATAGATAAACAGAAAAACACAAGGAAAGAAGGAAAAAGCAAACGAGTGAAAGAAAGAGGGAAACAAACAAACAAGCAAACAATCAAACAAACAAACAAGCAAACAAACAAATCAACAAACAAACAGACAGAGTCAGAGAGAATGAAGGAAAGAGGGAAACAAACAAACAAACAAACAAACAAACAAACAAACAGGCAGACAAACAGGCAGACAGACAAAGAAAGAAAGAAAAACGACAAGAGAAGAGAGAGAGAGAGAGAGAGAGAGAGAGAGAGAGAGAGAGAGAGAGAGAGTAAGCAGAGAGCGAGAGAGAAAGAAAAGAGAGCGAGAGAGCAAAAAGAGAGCGAGAGAGCAAGAAGAGAGCGAGAGAGCAAGAAGAGAGCGAGAGAGAAAGAAGAGCGAAAGAAACTCCCGACTCTTTGAAGCACCACTCAGGTGCTACTGAGGCCTTATTCGCAAAACGGTGCCTCCTTTATTGCCGCATAAGGGTTAGTGCCAAAATGGGAGGATTGCCCAGTTCCACTGGGCAGCTCCCCTCAGCAGCTGATGGGAGTAGGATTGATGCCACTCCCACAGCGAGGGAGGAATCCTCCCACCTCACCGGATGCCCTCCCGGCATCATGGGTGAGGAAGGAAAGTAGCGAAGATCAGCTTGATCAATTCGCTTTCGACTGAGGGGAAGACCCGGTTCTCAGTCGGAAATTGCGGGTCCGGATGAGTAAGTTCATCCGCCCATGTGTTAAAGTCGCGCTTCACATGCGACGGTCCTAACATGACCTGGTGGTCATGCAGTGTTAACACAATTTCCATGAGGATGGCCGCATTGGGCATCCTGCGAGTGGAATCGTTAAGCAGGGAGAAAACGTTTCCCTGGTTATCACTAGCAACCAGAATCCTAGTGTGAGAAGCCGAGCCGGCTGCACAAAGCAGAACAGCCCTCACCAAAAGGAGGAGGCCGAAGAGCTCCAAGGCCGCTATCGCCCGCTGCGGGTCCCCAGTAGTGAAGGCCCACGGCTCGCCCTCCGGTGTGATTCTGTGTTGGAACCACTTCACTCGGGACTTGTCGGGGTTGGGCACGTCCGAGCACCAACCACCAACCCATGCATGGTCCGCCTGTTTGCCAGCTCCCGCATCAGATGCCCCCGTCCATGGAAGTGTGGGAGCAAATGGAGATGCCAGTGGGAACCTCTGGTTGAAGAGCTTCCCCAGAAGGATGGCCAGAGCACGAACCAGCTTCGGTGGCCTGCCCGAAGTGGTGCAGGCCTTCTTCCAGCTCCAAAAGGGCTGGAGGAAAGGTTTCGTCAATGGACACGCCGAAGTAGCCCATTGAATCCGGCCCAGGGCTTGTTCCACCTCCTTGCTGGTAAAGATGTCCCCCTGGGCCAGCCGTTTGAGAGTGGCCAGGATTATGACGTGCTTGACTGGAGCCAGCAGCACACAGGGCGTGATTGGGTCCACCACGAATCCCAACCAGGTATTGACCGGGGAGAGCGCCGTCTTCTTCCAAGAAAGCGGGACTCCCAGCGCCAGAAGAGTGGCCAGGATGGCTGTGGCGTCCCAGTCCGCCCTGCTGCATCTGAGGACCCAGCAGTAGTCGTCCACAAAAACTAAGTGCCAGTCCACCTGAGGGAAGATGTAGTACAAGAGTCTGAGCACCAAGGATGCCTTTCTTCCCCAGTACAGTTGTGCCGAGGCCATGCCGTACGTGCCCACTCTATTGACCCACCACCGGTTCTGGATGCAGGCCACCTGGTATTTCCAGTCTTTCTGGAGCACTTTTATGCGCCTGTGGGCCTTGGTGACATCCGCCTTGAGGATGATGAAGGTTTCCCCCTGTGTCGGCGGCTGCCACGTCAGGGGTTCCCCCCTGCTCCCCCCAGGGCGTTCCGTGCCTGGGGGGGTTGGGGGGAATGGGGCCCTCCTATCAGGGCCCTCGGCACCTGGGAGTGGCCCCTTCCCTGAGGGTGTTGACCGCGGAGAGACGTCCAGGCCGCCGGAGGTCTCCATCATCCGCCTGCCCCTATCAGGGCCCTCGGCACCTGGGGGCAGGCTGGTGCTGTGGGGGTCCCTCTCAGGGCCCTCGGCACCTGGGGACTGCCCCTGCACCGGCTGGTGAACATCCCGAGGTTCCTCATCAGTGCCCGAGGATGGGGCTCGGAGTAGATGAGGATGGTCCGCCGCTGTCCTGAGCCAGTGGATGGCATGGAGGCAGTCTCCAACCATCGGTGCGGTGGTCTTCTCCTCCGTGTGAGCCTGGATGTGTGCGTTTGCTCCCCCTTTTGAGCCATCATAGATCGTCCTGATCTTGTCCGACTCATCAATCCCTGCAAGGGGGCCCGGGCAAAGTTCCTCCGGTTTGCAGCGGCACCTCTCTGCCGCCTCGGAGCGAGTGAAGGGACCGTCCACCATGTCCAAGGCTCGTTCCTCGTAAAAGGTTGATTCGATTTCCTTGGCAAAGAGTTCAGCCGTTGGGTAGTTATCATGAGCCACTGGCGGGGGGGGATCTTCCCCCAGCCATGCCTCTCCCTTGAGCTCCTCCTTAGTGGGCCAAACTCCCGGGGAGGTCAAGGTAGGGTCCGAGACTCCCAAGGGGACCCCCTCTTTCAGTGTCAGGGGGAACTCCCAATCAGGGTCACCTGAAAGGGATGCCAAGTGCGACACTAAGTCCAGGAGGAAGGGTTGTCCTGGGCATCGTTCATGGAGGTGCCTCGGTCCTAGGATAGCCCGCAGCTCCTCGAGGTCGGTTTCCTGGAAGGGGTGTGTGGTG